TAAGGCTTGAGAACTCTTCTGATACAAGAAATGGGGATGCAAGACTGACAAAAAAAAAAAAAAAACACACAGGCAGGTGTGGAATATGTCTGGTAGACATTGTGGCGATGGGGTTAGAGAAGACTGGTGAGTTCAGAGCAGCAGTTCGCAAAAAACAGAAATAAAAAAAGAAGCCGTATGGACTGCTGATCGCCTAAAGAAGGTAACACTTATAAGCTGGTCCCCAGCAGCAGAAAGCCAGATGCTGCCAAGTGTGGTGGTGCAAGGGGCAGATATGGAAAGTACCACAGGTCACAGCCACTGTCAAGGATGAGACTAGTCTCATGTGTTCCTGCCTGTGGAACAGGAGCTGGGTGTCCTGCACAGATGCTACAGTGCAAGGAGCCAGAGCTGCCATCACTGTGTCCCTACTGCCCTGCTGCATACGGTCACATGTGGATCTAAAATTCAGAAACAGCTCATTGCAAACTGGCCCTAATGACACCACTGACTTCCGTGTTTGTTGTTTTTTTGCACAGGATCTTGCTAAGTAGTTCAGCCTGGTTTTGAACTTACTGTGTTGCCCAGGTTGGCTTCAAACTCATGGTGATCCTCCTGCCTCAGCCTCTGATTTCCAGGCATGCACTCCCATGCCCGGCAGCACTACTCACTTCTGTGCTGCGTGACAGAAAATTCTCCAGCACAGTGACATGTAGCCCTGGCTGTTCTTTGGATGAGTGGCACCTAGAAGTGACTACTTGAAGCCTGTCTTAGTAGGAAAATCAATGTGTGGTAGAGAGCATGGCTCACATAGAACTGTTTTTTTTCCTGATTGTCATTTTATACAGCACAGCCTGAAAATGGGTGTCCTGAAGTACACTGGCATTGCTTGGCGGCTGGAGCCTCTGTTGGTGTGCCCTGTCCTTGTCCTCATACCAGCACCACATCACTCCTGTCTGAAGCAGGCAGAGCGTCATCCAACTGCATTAGTGCTGGGGACTGAGTCCTGGCATCGGCATCCTGTCGGGCACTCCCTCTCCCCTCTTCCGGTTCCTGCAGACCCAGGGAACACCCACCTCCTTTGGGAGGGTTCTCTAGGTCACTGCACAAATGCACCTGCTTTCCCTAAGTTCTCTAACATTGGATTTACCACTCTGCCTGCCAGTACTTATCTAATGCAGTTATTATTATGTGAAACAGAAGAATGATTAGTACATGACAATTTAGTGTTAATTTGTTCCCTGCGTGTTCTAAGGTAGGTTTAGTGTTATTAACTGCTTAACTACTGAGAAAAGAAAAAGTACCACACAAAACAACATCACTTTGCCAAAACCATACCCCCCCCCCCAAAAAAAGAGGCTAAGTGTAGTGGTGCAAAGTCTATAATCTCAATCCTTGGGAGGCTGAGGCAGGAGGGTTGTTGCAAGTTCAAGGCCAACCTTATCTACATATCTGAGACTCTGTCTCAAAAACAGCAACAACAACAATAAGCCTTGCCTGTGTGGAAGGAGAAGTGGGATTGGGCTGTGGTAAACAAGGGAGTAAATTACTAAGCAGTCTTTCTTTACCAGTGCTGGCCAAGCACAGGGCCTTGAGCACACTGGGCAAGCCTGTACCAATGAAGGATACTCCCAAACTCAAGGTAAGTTTCTGTTACAGTACAATTTTAATTGAACCTGGAAAGATGAGTAAGAAGGCAGGATAAAGGGAAGCCTCCGGGACCACAAAGCAACTGTCACAGCTAAGGCAAAGAGGCAGAAGTGTGCTGTGAAGACGGAGGTGAGAAACAGCCATTGACAGAAGCAGAGAGCTCAGTGAGTCTAATGGGATCTGGTGAGATTCGGTGGGTCCTGAAAGCCAGGCAAAGGGATTTCAACCAAGCCACAGAAGGGCCCAGTAGCAGGGAAATGGGATGGGCATAAAGTCAAAGGCTATCAGATGAGATGGAAGCCAAGGAAGGGAACTTGAGGTGACTGTAGGGAGCCAGGAAACTAAGTCCAGAGGGCAAGCATGGGAGGTGGGAGCCAGAAGAGGCGTTGCACGGGCACTGCTACACTCAGACACAGAGACACGACTGAGTCAAGACGTACTCTGTGCTCAGGGGACCAGGGAGTAGGGGATAAATTAGGCCCTGTAGGAGCTGGGATTCCCATGCTGGCAGTCCACTTTTACAGTACGCAAGCTTTAATTGTTCTAATAAGTATTTTCCTTGAGTAACTAACTATGCTGAAAGGGGCTCAGAGTTATATTTTTTTATTCCCTCTCTCCTTCTTTCCTTCTTTCCTCCCTTGGGGTAACTGATCAAAGTAATTTTGTTAATTGGTGACTAGATGTACTAGATTTGGTCTCGCTCTTTTTTCTATCTGTTCACGATCAGGGATCCCAGCCAGGGCCAGGGCCTCAACCAACATTCATGTCTTTCAAAACCTGCTCCAAGAACTTTCCTAGACCATGCTGGATACAAGAGGCTTAAATATCAAAGCAGTTCTCAGTGTGGATTTCTCAATTTGTCTGACCATGAAAGTTTTTTTTTTTTAATGAGTGGATAGCCTTTTTGTGAGCAGCCCCAGTAAGTTCCATTTCAATCCATGTGCATATGAACTGTCTAGCTGGTTGGGTTTCTAAACAAAACCTCTGGCGTTTTATTAATCCTCACCTCTAGCTGGGCATGGTAGAGCACATCTGTAATCCTAGCATTTGGGAGGCTGAGGCAGGAGGATTCCCGTGAGTTTGAGGCCAGCCTGGACCACATAGTGAGTTTCAGTTCAGCCTGAACTACACAGGGAGATCCTGTCTCAAATAAAGTTAAGTAATATCTCAAAGCATAGAACTTTAGAGTTTGAAAGCTCTTACCTCCCACCCAAATTGAAACAGCTAGACAAAACAGGTATTGTCCTGCCTCTGTATGTTTGCAGACAATCAGGATAGCTCTGACTACTACATATTTCTTATCTCACTTTCTGAGTGCTACCCTCACTTCAGTGTGACCAACAGGAATCGCACAGGCCTTGGAGTCAGTAGAATCGGGTGAGGAGTTACATAAATGCACCTTCGGATTTTTTCTTTTTTTTTTTTTTTGTACAGAATCAAACTCAGGACCTTGTGCTTGACAGCCAGGCGCCTATGCCACTAAGGTGTATCTCGCCACTTTCAGTTTTTCAAATACTGAAGTTAGTTGTGGTATTACCCCAAGTGTTCTTTAAAATTTTTTTCAATCAGATTTTATTGATACATTTTGGATATACATAATGATCACATTCATCATAGATATATGTACATTATATAACTTTTTTCCATCTCCCTACCCTGTCTTCAACCCTTTCCCCCTCTCCATTTACAAAGCTTTGTTTCCATGTTTTCCTTTTTTTTTTCACTTTTCCTTTTCTTCTCCCCTCCCTCTTCATTTCCCTCTGCATTTGAACATTTTCTTCCTATTTCACAATATCTATTATACATTTTGGTTCTTATTTACACTTTTGGTGTCTCACATCAGAGAAATGATGCTGTATTTATACGTGTGTGTCTGATTTATTTCACTTAAGAGTATGGACTCAAGGTGCATCCATTTTCCTACAAATGTCTGGAGCGTATCCTTCTTTTTGACAAAGCAGTATTCCACTTCATCAAAAAAACCACATCTTCTTTTTTTTTTTTTTTTTTTTTTTTTTTTGTCTTTTTCGTTTTTACTGGTACCAGGGATCGAACTCACAACTGCCTGCTTGCAAGGCAGGTGCTTATGCCACTGAGCTAAATCCCCAGCCCCCGAACCACATCTTCTTTATCCAGTCACCAGTTGATGGGCACTTGGATAGTTTCCAAGATTTGGCTATTACAAACTGTGCTGCTGTAAACAGATGTGCATACTTTGCTGTAGTATGATGTTTTTAATTCTTTTGGGAAGATACCAAGAAGGGTCAAATGGAACTTCTAGTCCTTTTTTTTTGAAACAGGTTTTCACTATACAGTTCAGGCTGGCCCTGAACTCATTTTGTAGCCCAGGCTGGCCTCAAACTTGCAGTGATCCATCTACCTCAGCCTCATGAGTGCTGGGATTACAGGTATGTGCCACTATGCCCAGCACTGTCTTAGTTTTTTGAGAAATCTCCATGTTAATTTTTACAGTGGTTGCATCAGTCTATACTCCCACCACGAGTGAGAAGGGTCCCTTTTTCCCCCATATCTCCACCACCATTAAATTTATTTATTGAGAGTGTGTCTTGCTATGTTCCTGGTTGGCCTTGAATTTTTGATCTTGCCTCAGCTCCCAAATTAAGATTACAACTGTGAGCAAGTGAGCCTCGCCTTAAGGTGTTCTTTCTCAAGGGTGAGAATCCACCAGCATTTTCTCTCTCAGCCTTGGTGTTCGTCTTATGAGCATGGTACCCATACCTGAACAAATTATCCTTGGGAAGTCCCGTGCCTCTGCTACACGCACTACTTCTCTTCCCCAGGTCCAGAGTTCTTCCAGTTCTTTTCGTAGCTATATAACATTACTTCTTTGACTCTATAAAGCTTCCCCTATACATTTTCTTTTATTCTTTTTTTTCTTTTTTTGTCTTTTTCCTTTTTATCGGTACCAGGGATCAAACTCACGACTGCCTGCTTACAAAGGAGGCGCTCATGCCACTGAGCTAAATCCCCAGCCCCCCCCAATACATTTTCTAAGAAACAAAGGTTATATGCTTTACTTGCTAGATAGTCACTGGTACATTCTATCAAAGAACTTTTCTTTTGTTTGTGGGGGTTTGTATTCATACTCCACAGGGTCTTGCTCTGTAGTTTAGGCTAGGCTTGAATTCATCACCCAGTCCAAACTGGCCTTGAAATTGAGGTGATCCTCTTGCCTCAGCCTCCGGAGTGCTGGGATTTATGGGCGTGCGCTGACCACGCCCAGCCACCACTTGAAATATTGCTTTGGTCTGAGTTGCCTTGAGTTTAGGTTGCTCGGTGGGCCTCAGTTGCAAGCCTCTCTCAGGTGCATGATATACGAAATTTAGGGGTGTCCATTTCTTTAAACTTACCGGTAGGAAGCATGAGGACCGCTGGGTCCGCTCTATTTTTAAGTCTTTGGGCCACAGGTGAGGTACGGTCCCCTGCTGTGCTCAAGGAAGAGACCGGGCGCCACTGGCGTCCTTCGGTAACCAAGGAGACCCACCCTCCGCCTCTGGTAGTGGCTGTAAACTACAATTCCCATCAGCCGATTGTATCTCCTGGATCGCCAGTGGTCAGGAAATGGCCTGCGGATGTCTGCGGTCCTACCGCAGTGACCCTTGCAGTTGAATTTGCTGTATGGCCTCACGACTTCTCGGAACTACAATTCCCGTGAGCCCAGGCTGTGCGCAGGCGCAGAGCCGCCGGCGCGGGGTCCCTCGGCTCCTCGGCCCCTTGGCCCCAGCAGGAGCGGGAGGAGGGCGGGGAAGGAGGAGGAGGAGGACGAGGAAGAGGAGGCGGGCTCGGCGCGCTGCGTTGGCTGCAGCCCGGCTCTGGAGGGGCGGCCCCGGCGGCGGCCCGGGTGACGATGGACCCCGCCGAGGCGGTGCTGCAGGAGAAGGCGCTCAAGTTCATGGTGAGGGGCCCACGGGCCGCGGCGCGACGGGGCGCGGCGTGTAGCCTGGGCCCTGGGGAGCGCGGAGCTCCACCGGGCCCGCGATGGGGTTGGGACCGGGTGCGGTGCGGGCCGGGCCGCGCCGGGCAGGGCAGGGCAGGGCGAGGCGGGGCGGGGCGGGGGCGGCCCCTCCGCCATCTTGCGGGCGGCCGGCGGGGGCGGAGGCTCGCGCGGGCGCGCGGGGACGGTTGTGGGGCGGCGCGGAGGCCCGCATGGTCTAGGCGGGGTCGCTGTGGGGTGAGGCCGCCCGGGGCGGGGCGGCGCGGCGCGGAGCGCAGCGAGCTGAGGACCGAGGCTCGGCCGAGGGCGGCCGCTGGCTTCGGAGGAGGAGGAGGAGAAAGTGGGGCTTTTCGCCGTGGGGGTGGAGCCGCAGCTCGGCCGACCAGTGTTGACGAACTCCTGGCGGCGGGGCCTTCCTCAGGGCTGGAGGGCGGCGGACCGGGCGGTAGGTCGGGGCCTGCCAGCCGGAGTGGAGGTGTCCGAAAAAGGGGTGTCGCGTGGCCGCTCCCCTCCGGTGTACGAGGCCAGGCGAGGCGACCAGAGGTAGGCTGATGGTGAGGGAAACGGGCACGGAAGGTCGGGGTCAAAGTGAATACGGAAAACTAAACAAAACACAGCAACTGAATTGTGTGGGGGTCCCGGGGAAGGAAAGACCCTGCAGATCAGTCGTATAGTCCCAGCAGAAGTGAGGAGATCGGTGGAGAAATTTAGGAGGGAAGCGGGGCTTGTAGGTAGTAGGGAATGTGAGCTTTCAAGGTTGGTTACGCATCAGCTTTGGGTTGAAGTGTGATGTGAACTTGGTTTAGATTTTGTTACGTTTCAACTCCTTGGAGCCTGTTTAACTTTGTATCAACCTTTTTTTGTTGTTGCTGTATTTATTTTGGCAAATTTGTATAGTCTTGACATTTAATGCTTTTAATCTTATGCTACTTAGGTATCCCAGGTATGAAACCAGACTGTGATTACATTAAAGAATGATAGAGTGCATAAACGTTTAGTTTTAACGCCTTAGGGATGTTGGTATTATTTGCAGTCAGGTCTTGCTTTTGCTTCGTGGGGGAGGGGGTTGAGATAGAGTCTGTTATGTGGCCCAGGCTGGCCTCGAATTTGTGATAATTGTGCCTCAGCTTCCCCAGTGCTGATATTACAGGCCTGCACCACTGTTCCCAGCAGGTCTTGCTTTTACAGAAGTAACTGTGACCTGTTACTCCAAACTTCATTCCTTTGTTAAATAACACCAAATTGTATCTTTGCCTAAACTACCATGTGCGTTATAAACCAATTAAGTTGGGCTTTAAACTGCCCCAATTATGAGAGTATTTTTGTAGAAAGTGGTCAAATTTAAAACTTTATTTTTTGACAGGGTCTCACCATGTAGTTTGGGTTGGTCTTGAATTCACTGTATAGCCCATAGTGGCTATGAACTCATGGCAGTCCTCCTGCCCTAAGCCTCCTAAGTGCTGAGATTATAACATTGTTAAAATTCTGTAACATTGAGAGGAGAACTTGAAATTTTTTGATTTTAGAAGTGATAATTACCTTTTCCTCTAGCCAGCATTTGGATTTAAGTTAGAGAAGTGGTAACTACTAGTTGGGCATGGTGGAAGCACACCTGTAATCCCAGCACTTGGGAGGCTGAGGCAGGAGAATCACTGAGAGTTCGAGACCAGCCCGGGTACACAGTAAGACCGTGCTTAAAAATAAAACAGCCAACCAACCCCAAGAACAGCAAAAAACCAAAAACAGGAAAGTAGTGGCTGCTCATTTTAGTTTTCCAATGTAAAGGTTTGACTCTTAACTCTAACTCTAATCCTTGTGTCAGATTTATGGGGTATGATTTACAGATCATAATGAGACATTGTGAGATCACCTTCTTCCATTGCCCATTAGACCTCGGCTTCAGAACATCTTCAACTTGTTCATGCTGCTTTGTACCACTGAGCTGTGGTTGCAGGGTGGCCTCCTGCCAGAGTTAAAGCAGACCTGGAGCGTCATGTAGTACTTTGTCACTTTTGGGGCACCACACATTATTAAATGCCAAGTCAGTTGCCATTGGTTGAAGCCAGTTGTTTCTTTAATTTTAGTTACTTTCATTTTTACTCTTGCTTGCTATTGTGGTTGCTGTTTGAGAAAAGGCCAGTTTCAGCTCCTAACAGACTCACTATGAATCTCAGTAAGTCCCAACTTCCATTGGCCCCATTTGCCCTGCTGTAATGTGTCCATTTTTACAGAGTCAGTTTTGAGATAGGAAGATACTGTATTTGAGCTTATATTACCAGTGCACAGTATACATGGAAGTGCTTTTAATCAGTTGAGTTTTCTGTTTAGTGTTTGGTTTTATTTTGGCTTTAGCTTTAACTTCTGTTTGTGAATTGCTAATAACAGCCTTGATATAGATATTCTGATCCATACTTTAAAAAACATAAAAGTTTGTTTGAATGGATGCTGTCATCAGTGTATTCTTTGATATAGTACTTTAAGGCACTTTAAATAAAATCTTATTAATAAGATTGCTAATTTGGAGTTGACCATAACTTCACACACGGTCTAGTTTTAAGTCTTACTCTTGGATACTTATGAAAGGTACTTTAAGCAGATTGTTTACTTCTTTTTTTTCCTTCCAGTACTGGGGATTGAACTCACGACTGCTTGCTTGTAAGGCAGGCGCTTATGCCGCTGAGCTAAACCCGCAGCACCAGATTGTTTACTTCTAAAAATAAATAATATGAAAGCTATGGTTTACATGAAATACTTACATGCTTTTGGCTCTCATCTAGCTTTAGCAGGTCCTCAAGGACCTTCCCTAAAAGTACTTCCTTCAGTCAACAAAATTTAAATCAGTAAAAATAAATAGGGATGTACATACAGAAAATACAGGCCTTTTAAGAGCAGCTTATTTATTGAGAGATAAATAAGCTGAGAGAGAGACAGAAGGGGTCTCAAGTGAGTTGTCAAGGACCTTGCCTTTTCTTTTCTTTTCTTTTCTTTTTTTTTTTTTTGTCTTTTTGAGACAGGGTCTCGCTCTGTAGTTCAGGCTGGTCTTGAGCTCACTTTGTAGCCCAGGCTGATCTCGAACTCACAACGATGCTCCTGCCTCAGCCTCCTGAGTGCTGGGATTACAGGTGTGAACCACCATGCCCGGCTGGACCTTGCCTTTTCTAGGGATTTTTGTAGAGCAAAGCCATAGTGAGACTGGTCCAAGGTTCGGAGAAATGGAAACTTGTAAGGTGAGCATAAGGTAGGACAGAACAGTGGTCAACTGGTATGATTACAAATGTAATTGCTCAGGTAAGATTGATTAAATCGGGATCAATAGGAAAGGTGAGTCATGTAGCAAGTGGGCATGAATACTGAATAGGGCCTTTTCCTGAAGGCATTGGGTTAGTGGGTCCTTCTGGCTTCCTCCAAGGGATCCGATCGATACCTATTTGTTTTTGTTTTTGTACCAGGAATCAAACTCATAACCAGGCAAACCCTTGAGTAACTGAGTTTAATCCGTGGCCCCTCTGATACCTATTTGGAATATCAATCCCAGATATTTATCCTTAGGGGCATTAGCAATACACATTTAGTTTAAAAAGCTAAGGAAAACTGGCATTTACTTTTTTTTTTTTGTCTTTTTCCTTTTTTATCGGTACCAGCGATCGAACTCATGCCTGCCTGCTTTACAAGACAGGTGCTTATGCCGCTGAGCTAAATCCCCAGCCCCTGACATTTACTTTTAAAAATATATTGTTCACTCAACACATAGATTTTAGAAAAAAATAAATAAATAAATAAAAATATATTGTTCAGCCAGTGACAGAATCAAATGAGAGAACACTTAAAACTTAGGCGAAATAATTTTAGGACATATAGAGGGTGTTCTGCTTTTTGAGTGCTAAGGATGAAAAACACAGGGCTTCCCATGCTAGGCAAGTATCTACCACTGAGGTACACCCCACCCCTCATGCAGTTTTTTTTTTATTGTAATGGGTAAAGAGTTGGTAGGTGAAACAGTATAAAAGATAAATATGGCTATGTAACAAACTGCAACCTCAAACTTATTATTTTTTGACCTTTTGAGACAGGGTCTTGCTATGCAGTTCAGGCTGGCCTTGAACTCACTTTGCAGCCTATGCTGGTCTTGAATTTGCAACAATCCTACTTCATTCTCCTAACTGCTGGGATTACAGGTGTGTGCCACCATGCCTGGCATCAAAATTTAATAGTTTGAAAAAACTCAGTGTATTATTTACCTCACATTTGGTTTTTTTTTTTTTTTTTTTTCTGTCTCATTTGGTGTTGGCTGGGTTACCTGCATGACTAGGGCTAATTCACTGAGTGTATCCCTTCACATGGCTGACTCCCAGCTGAGAGTTCAGTTAGGGTTTGTCTTTTTTCACTGCTGAGACAAAATAAGCAACACCCAAAGTTAAAGGAGGAAAGATTTATTTAGCTCACAGTCAGTCCATAATCTGCTGGCTGCTAGGCAGGGTGCATGGCAGATTGGCACCAAAGAGGAGGACCAGTTCGTGGCTGGCAGGTGGTAGCAAAGCAACAAGAGGCAAGACAAACCTCTTTCTGTCCCTTATACTGTATCCAGGCTACTGGAATTAGGGTGGTGCCAAACCGATCAGTGGACTAATTAGTAATCACTTGCCCTTAATCCTGGCATTGCACCATGAATCAGTCACATTAGATTTCAGCCACCTATGAAAAAGCATGTGTGCCTAGGACTGCATGAGGCTGGGGTGGGAGGGCATCTAGACACAAGCCATAATAGGCCTTCAGTTCTGTGTGGCAGCCTTTCCTGCTGCTTGGCTTTCCTAAATGCATGGTGGTTGGGTTCTAAGGAATATTATTCCTGGAAACCGGAAGTAGAAATTGTCGATTCTCTTAAGTCCTAGATTTAAAAGTCCAAGGATGTCTATAGGTCAAATCTGGTAATGGCCGGCCCAAAGTCAGAGGGATGAGTATATGTGTGGGAAATAATTTCTGCATGTTCATGGAAAGAGTGGTGGCAAGCATCAGAGAGGAGGGAGCTGTGGGAGTCATATTTTGAGCCCTTTCCATAGCTGCTGTTCTATCGGATGTTCAGGTTAAAAATATGGATGAGATCAGCTGAATTTGCAGTTAATGACAGTAGGAATTCTTGCGAGGCATCTCTGGGGTTAAAATCTCAACTAATGTGATCTGCATGACTTGCCAAGTTTGTCACTGCAGACGTAAACTGGGTAAATGAATATGATTCAGAAAATAAGAAACATAGGTATCTAAAAACAAATTGTACTTTCTTTTTTTGGTACTGGGGATTGAACTCATGACCTTGTACTTGCCAGGCAGGCATGGTGTTGCTGAGCTATATCCCTAGCTCCACAAATTGTACTTCAAAATAAATAGCTTTTGAAGACAGACATAAGGATATAAAATCATAAATACACTTTTTTGTGAGAACTTTCTAGATTTGTGTGTAAAAGATGCTTGTAGTGTGTGTGTGTGTGTGAGAGAGAGAGAGAGAGAGAGAGAGAGAGAGAGAGATGGGGTTTTGTTATATGCTTTCC